ACAAGGGTGCCATTTTCTGGAGCTGAAACCTCAGCCCAGTTCTTTAAGCATTCTGTACAACTTCTTCACTTAGACTTCTGATGGTGTCTAGGTTTTGGGTGGGGGAGAAGAGGTGACTCAGAACTGGATGTCAATTTCCCATCAGCAGGAATTCCAGGGCTGGCAGATGAACGGTGATTCCACCGGTCTGACAAAACCAAGCCAGTGTTTGGAAAGCCCCAAACCTTAAGGCTGCTTCCAACCGGACAGGGTTTGGGCAGGATAAAAGTCTCTTGTTTACCGCTCCTGGTTCAGTTTCTATTTGCTCTGTAGCATTTCCAGGAACTTACTCCAAGTCCCTGATTTGGAAATCTGCATCCTCAGCAAGGCCACACCCTCGATCAGGACCGGCTGCATGGTAGAAATCTATGGAATGTGTACCCCTGGCTGCCCCACATTTATTTCAGTCTGGTTTGGCAGGATTCTTGGTTTTCAAATTTGCATCTCCTTTTTTGGCAATGTTTGAAAAAAAAAAAACTGAGCGGGGCAGGTTCTGTTTGAAGGCAGCCCTGTTGCAAGACAGTTGTGTGTGTAACTTTGCTTGACTTATGAGTTTTCAGAACTTCTGCCACATAGATTTCTTGGCAGTCTCCCTGTCCTGGTAACCCTAATCAAGACTTCAATGGGACTCCTGGAGGTTGGAGGTGTCCAGTTGGTTACATCCTGGCAGGATGGTTTTATAAAACCCATGTGCGTGATCTTGAGCTTAAGAAAATCACATTCATTCACTTGAGTACCTGCTATGGTATTAGTTCTGGTATGTGTGAACAGTGCAGGTGTATAACTTAACTGCTAGTTTGAAACTCAAGGTTAAGTGCATTTAATATTGTCTTGATATTTATAGAACAATGATGCTGTTCTCCTTCAACCGTAGGGGCTGAAGTGGGTGATTCACTCTTCTAGAGAAGATGGTCCTGCTGATCTCTTAAGGAAAGAATTGACATTTTACATATATTATGAATTGTGAGATGGAAGACCTAAATGCATAGAGTCCCTTTACCTGTATGGATTTTGAATTTTTTATCATTCTGTTTTGCTGTTGGTCTTATGGCCGTGCTGTTGTTTGATATGAGGAGGATCTTCCAACCCTTGCTATCACTTCCTACTGTTAATAAAACATACCTTTTGTGAGGAAAGCCAAAAGATCCAAGTGGGAAATAGGTAAAGTTGTTTAACTCTCTAGGTATTCATTCATTCATTCATTCATTCATTCATTCATTCATTCATTCATTCATTCATTCATTCATTCATTCATTCATTCATTCATTCATTCATTCATTCATTCATTCATTCATTCATTCATTCATTCATTCATTCATTCATTCATTCATTCATTCATTCATTCATTCATTCATTCATTCATTCATTCATTCATTCATTCATTCATTCATTCATTCATTCATTCATTCATTCATTCATTCATTCATTCATTCATTCATTCATTCATTCATTCATTCATTCATTCATTCTACTTATATCCCATTGAATCTATTGAGACTCATAACTGTTTACAAAACAATTGATAAAAACATCCAGAACAGTTAAAGTGTCCGTGATAAAGATAAATACATTAAAGTAACCATTTACTAACTGAAGTTGCAACAATGCGGGGATACATCATAATAGCGATAATCAAAATTTGAATTAAAAAAATCCTAGCAAAACAAATAGCCACAATTAAGTTAATATTAATTTAAAAGGGCAATAACAGACCTTTCAACCTAATCCTTTTTGGAAAAGTTAGGTCTTCAGTAGCATCCAAAATGTTAGAAGAGTTGCTTTTTAGTCTATAATTGCATAAAAGGCCCTTTTGCAAAATAACTGCATAGAGATATTCTAAAATATTCTTCAACATGTGGTGGCCAAAAGATGTCTCCTCTACTTAAGGTTTTTGAGGCTAAGATTGTATCACAATTGCTTTTGGGGGGGGGGGGTGCCGTTGCATCTTCTCTTACACGCCCACCACATCACAACTTTCCCTTCTCCAGCCCCAATATGAAAACCAACGTTGGGCAATTCCTGGTGGATTGTCTCCCCTGTTCATGAAGACAGACACTGGCCTGTTCCTTGGGAGCCCCAAGCAGTCGATTCCATTCCAAACATGTTGCTGGGGTCCTGGATTAAAAATTCCCACACTTCATGCTATATCCCTCTCTACCCCCTATCCACTGGTGGTTCGTGGTCCCCTTGGGAAAAAACTGTTAGCTGAAGTACATTATGATTTCTTGCTCTTCCCTCAGAGAACATTCTTTGTCCAGATCCTCCAGTTACAGACACATGTTTTACAAGCTGGAGAAAATGGCTGAAAGTGTGAAATCCAGAGGGCCCTAGTGTTGGACACTGTGTGACATTAGACATGCTTGCCTTTGCCTGAAGAAGGCCCATGAACTGTCCAGTCTGGCCACAAGAGATCTGGTTGCTGCTTCATCTGTTGTCTCAAGTGTTGAGACGCTCCAGGATCATGCCTGGGTCAACCTCTCCTTTCTGCTACCGTTGGAGGGTCCGGGAAGGGAGGAAGTAGATGGCGCCTTGGGTCTTCCAGGGCTAGCAATTCCAAAAATACCTACTACTCCCGGCAGTGAAAGTCGATGTAGATTTGATTTGCCTACTTCCTTTTTTTGAATGCCTTCACGTTTCCTGGCTCCAGCTTCTGAAAACAGAGTCGGAAGCAGATTGTGCATGAATGAGATGGACTTAGTGACCTTGGGAATCCGCTTAGCTGGAGCCCTGCTGTTCCTTTGCTCCTTTAATGTTACCTTGGGCCAGGTAATAACAGGGTTAGGGCTGGGAGTAAAAGTGCAAGCCCCTCTCAGTGTATTAAATGTAGGATGGGTACACACACACACATCCATAAGCTTTGGATAGCTTAACACTGATTTATTGAAAAAACAGCTGTCTGGATTCACATGCTAAGCTGTATACCAGTGTTTCTCAACTTTGGGAGCTCTAAGCTCTGTGGACTTCAACTCCCACCAATTCCCCCCCCACAACCAGGGCTGGGGGATGTTTGGGGAGGAGGAGCCCCGACGGCGGGGGGCCCACCG